AAAAAAAGCCGGCCGGCCGGGTCTGTTTGAAAGTTTCATGTTATGAAAACCAAGATATTAAATTTGTGCGGCCTTATTTCTAAAATACAGAAATAAATATGTGATAATAGTACAAATTTGCTACCCGAACAATGTGAAGCCTAATACATTTATTTATTACCTGTTTTTATAAGCGATCATGGAACAATCAAGCATCACATTGTTCGAGTGGAAAGTATATTACAATACATATAACAATAAAACTTAAGATTTTTTCATTTTTTCCGCATTAATTTGTTCTAAAAGAGCAATCGCTTTAGGTTGATTTTTCAAAGCAGCTAATCTGGTATATGACTCGGCCTTTTCTTTATCAACTGGTATTCCAAGCTTCCCATGCCAATAAATATCACCCAAATTAAAAAGCGCAGTAGAGTTCTCATAATCTGCGGCCATCATCATATATTTCATTATTTCAGCAACATTCTTACTTTTGTTTTCAATAAGAGCAAACGCGTAGCGAAGTTGTGCATCGGCAACACCATTATCTGCTGCTTCTTTAAAAAGACGAAGAGCAGCTTCAGGATCCTTATGTCCGTTAAGTCCAGTTAACAAGTAATAACCCTTCCAATATATGGCTACATTGTTTCCAAGTTCTGCGTGACCAACAAAGCATTCCCAAGAAACCTTGTAATTTTTCGCTTTGTGTTCTTTGATGCCATCTTCAAAAGGTACGAGGGTTTGTATTGGAGGTATTGAGTATTCAGTTAAGTCACAAGGCATTTCAATCTGTGATTCTGTTAATTCTATATCTGGGATTTCAATATCACAATGAGGATCCTTAGGACGTATCTGAGGAGAATTTTCCTGAAACTGTTCATAAAGTTCTCTTAATTTCAATTGTACTTCTAAATCTGAAGGACGTGCGGAGGGTTCATCTTGCCAAGCTTTTATAAATAATTATTCCAATTAAAAGCTTGCTAATGACACATTAATATGAATGAATAATATGATGTTCACCTTTTTTAATGATTTTCGCAAGTTCATTTGGAATTTCTGATGGACAAAGTGCAATTTTAAGCGTTTCACGTTTTTTATTCATGACATGTTCTTGAATAGCAGTCACACTATTCATGTTTTTATAAGGAATTTTTTGATGACAGAGTTCCCAAAGCAACATTCCAAAACTATAAAATAATGTTAATTTTATGAACTTAAATTATTATTAATTGAAAGATTTAATATTTACCTGAACATTTCACATTGATGATTGTATCGTTGTTCGGTGCCACCTTTTGTTACACGCATTTTTTCTGGTGCTAACCATCTTACGATATCTAACAAGTTTTTAACTTCTGCAGACAATCCTTGAACAGTACGACTCAATTCGAAATTCGAAAGTTTAGCCTCATGACTATCCGTAATCTATTATTGCATAGAAATTCATCATTATCAAATATTTTAAGGTATAGATATTAAAAACGTGAATGCATTCGTACCAAAATATTTTCACAACGAACATCGTGATGCAAAATATTACATTGATGTACGAATACGAGACCGTTACATATATCACGAGCAAATTTCAGTTTCAAAGGCCATTTTATTTCATATTTTGTGTACATCTCTTTCAAGTTGCCGTACGATGCCCAGTTAAAAACCATTACATCGTTGTTATCCACTTTCGAAAGTCCATAAAAAGTGACAACATTCGGACACAAGGTTCCTAATTTAAGTAGAATGATCAATTCTGTTTGACCTTTTTGAGATTGTGCTGTATCGTTATTTTCGATATTTGGAACTTTTTTACAAGCAACTTCTAATCCACAAAACAATTTTTTAACAACTGTTTTTCTGCTACCACGAACATTATCATCTGATGCAAATGGTTCATTTAATTGAATCGGGTCCACCGTGGGTGCTTTGTATGCCTCACTCAAAGGCGTTCTTACTGTAGTAGCTCTACCTGCTGATTTGCTGGCTTGTAAGTTCAAATTCTCCATACTTGACGCTAATGCGGCCACTTCATTCATTACCACTTTGAGGTTAGATTTCACTTCATCCATAGACTTAACAGATCGTTTAGAATTTACAATTTAAACCACTTAAATTATGTATAAGAAAAAAATTTTTTTTTGAAATGAATAAGAATACCTTGTTCAAAACATCGATATCTTCGGCTACATTTTTAGCCTCTTGTTCTTTTCGTTCAATATCATACATTGCTATGGTAAAATGCAAATCACTACATACATCTTCAAATTCTCTGATATTCTTATCAAATGCATCTTTAATTGCATTGGCATTTATAAATTTTTGAAAGCATGATAGCTGCGTAATTTCTTTAGAAAATTTTTTAATATTCTCTAAAACATTAACAAATCTAACAAATGCATAATAATATTTTTGATTTCGAAATTTTTCTTCATTAGCCTGTTTCTGTCGCTGTAAAGATTTTACTGCGTATTGCGCGATTTCGACACGCTCGACTAATACTAAACAAATTTTTTGATTGCATTTGGCATTTTCATAGATTGTTGATAATTGTTGAACGATATTTGTGACCATACTGAATAATGGAACGAAAGGTTGAACGGCATCGCCTACCGTTTGTACGGTATTAGCTATTCCTGATGTGCTGAATTTGTATTCTTCAGCTGAATTCTTTCCATCCGTTGTATTATTGGTAGGTTCTTTTTTTTCTCTTAAATGGGAAGCCATTATTATTACTCTGAATGAATGTAATTACCTCAAATTATCGATTTTGAAACTTGGACCGTCTAAGCATGAAAGGACGAAAAAGATATGAACTACCATATTTACAATATATTTATAAATATTTACAACGTTCAAAAATTATGTACAATTACGGCTAAATGTGAATAAACTCCGTTGTGTCTCTGACCATTTGTTCTATAGAAGTTGTAAAAGATACTCGTACAACATTGTGCAACTTCAAAATTTTGGGAATACAGTCAATAAAATAGTCTTGGCCCAAGTTGGAACTTATAAAATAAGTGCAAGTTCTTTATTCTGTAAGTGCAAGATTGTTTTTTTAGCCAGCATATATTATCTTCTCTAATTGCAAGATATTTTATTAACCAATTAAATTAATTTATTTAATTACAGTTTTTTTTCTAAGTGCAAGATATTTTTTTTAACTTGTTAACTTGCATTTAGAGAGAATTAATTATATATTAATTGAGTTTTCTTTAATTGCAAATTCTCTCTAAATGCTTTCTGGCCCAGCATAGCGAACATTCATTGTAATTGGTTAGATTTTGTTGATCATCTCGTGATTTTATTTGCTAATTACCTAATCAA